CCTTATAATTTAAGTGGGTATAATTTAATACTAGTAACACTAAAAGAAGTGATTTTGTATTTATATTGAATTCATTATTCCCTTAATTATTAAATATTAAGTATCGTCCATCGACCCATCAGTGTTAAAAAGTTAAATATTCCAGACAAAAGTTTTTATTTTGTAATTCCACGATAGTGACAGTGTAATTTTTATAAAGAAGTAAAAAATAAGAATAGCGTGCCTATTACATTAAAAACGAGATTCTTAATGCTTAATTTTTTAGTCTGTGCATAAACTAGTTTTACAATAGACCGAGAAAACAATGCATTTACTATTTCCGAATGTGTCGATATGGTGTTAGTGTATGGTGCAGCCGGAGATAATGCGCTCGCGGCGACGTGGTTGTACCGGGAACGATGGCCACAACGCCACCCCCCCATGTGCAAATACAATCCTATAGTGCGTTCAGCGGCTGCGAGATACGGGAAGTGTTATTCCTCGAGGAGAAGGACGTGGTCAGCAAGTGAACCTTAATGTTGAAGATGCAGTGTTGGATTATCTTGATGAAGTCCCCACACTACTCGACGACTCGCACAGCAAATATGAACCTCATCTCGTACCGTACATCGCATCTTAAGACGCCAGCTGTTGCACCCCTATCATCTGCAACCAGTTCAATAGATTTTACCCCCGGATTGTGATCAACGAATGCGTTTTTTCAGATGGTTTTTACGGTAATGTGCCAATCAAGTAGACTTTCCTGCTTATGTTTGTGTAACAGATGAGGCGACATTTACCCGTGATGAAGTGAATTTCCATAATATGCACATATGGGCCGATGAAAATCTTCACGCGATTAGGGAAACTTATTTTCAACATCGGTTCTCGGTAAATGTTTGAGCTGGCATAATAAACGATGTACATATGGGTCCCTATTTCTTTGAAGGACGATTAAATGGACCAGCATATGCTGACTTTTTGGAGAACCAGTTGCCTGGATTATTGGACGATGTGGCATTACAAGTTCGGGCACGCATGTTTATCTTCAAGATGGGGCTTCTCCACACAGTACTCGAGAAGTAACGACACTTTAGAATGAAATGTTTCGTCAACGATGGATTGGACGCTTTGGTCCTGTGCCGTGGCCACCTCGGTCACCCGATCTAATTTTTATGGACTTTTATCTTTGGAGTCACTTGAAGTCATTGGTTTACAATACTCCAATTGCTACGGTGGAAGAATTGCGAAACCGTATACTTGAAGCTGCTGACACAATTAGGGGAATACCTGGAATTTGGGAAAATGTTCGCCAAAATTGGGTGCGTCGGTGCCATGCCTGTATCCGCGCTAATGGGGATCAATTTTAACATTTTCTCTAGAAATGGTAAATTTTATTTCATTTTGTTCAATATTTTATTTAAATACCTACTTTTCTTAGTTTGTACTTTTGCATTGAAAAATTCCCCAAAAATTGAGAAGTATCTTTCTACCTTTTAACGACGATTTGTTTACGCGGCTGGTCTACAGCACGTAACTTCATCGTAATTGAACATTCATTTACGAAAAAGAAATGAAAAAAATAGAACTTTTTCGTATAAGACTTTTGTATTACAAATATCGTCAGGAAGATGTAGTTTAATTTTTATAGATTATACATACCACACCCTGTATATGTGCTCAATGAGGCACATTTGCTCCACTCGTGTGTGTCGTTGCCAATACACCTACGTACGCCAATCCATTAATATCCAACCAAGCATTTTATATTTGTATTTAATAGTAGTCAACCGTTTCTGTACTTTTGTATGGATATTTACACGATTGTGTCCCTTTCTTATGGTCAAATCCAAAGAACAAACTTTAATGATATCCGCAGGTTACACAGAAAGTATATTTTATCAATGTTTAAAAATAATTTCACTATTTGTATAGAAATCAAATGTAATAAGAACTTCTATATGCATATTAAATATTCTGGGGAATTTGTTTCTTTTTAAATATTTGTTCCCTGTGCAGTTTTAAGATGGTCTTCAAAAATTCATATTAATATCATTTTTTGTGCGAATTAATATCGTCAATCACATCTGTCTTATATCCAGTTACATTACGACTTATTTGTCTATAAATTTCATAACTATTTACGTCACATTTATTTTCTGAGAACGCACTTTTGCGATAAAATGTGGTCTGAAATCGAGCCCGAAAATAAAAAAAACCTTTCATATATTTAGGTGGAAGTGGAGAAAATATAGTAGGTCGATACAGCAACATCATTATGTGGCGATTGCAAAGATTTTTATCAAAACCAATGATGAGAATTTTGTCACATGTTAGAGACATGTTCGTTAAATGTGAATTGAATTTATTTGCGAAAATGAAGGTAAAGTTCGTTCCAGTAATTTTTAGTTTTCTAATAGCTAAAATATGTAAAAGTTATTCTGAAAATGATCTTCCACTTTATTCCCTCACTGTACATATTTGACCACATACAGGGTGTCAAGAATTTTAACCACAAGAATTCGGGAACCCATAAAGGGCGTATAAATAATTGAAAAAGTTATTTTTGAAACCTGACTGCTTTTGAGATAAAAGAATTTCTGAATAAAGATATTGTAGCAAAACGTAAACAAAATAATTAATTTTCATCGCAAACCAGTGGTGTTGATATGAGGTATATACTAATTAAATTAAAAACGTTTATCTAGACATTGGCTGAATTAAATACCTACCTTCCATTAACATAATTAGTCAATGCATTAAAAAGTAAATAATGTAAATTTCTCTCTGCTGCGGACTAAACACTAAGTGACATTATCTCTTATTTAAACTGACAATAATTGTATAAATTAAATACATTTCAATCACAACCTAAATGTGGATAATTTCTAAGGGCCCATTGTGTTTTTACAGCTGAATTAAACTGCGTAGGTGTTAGTTAAACTATTGTTTCTCGAAAGTTTTAACAAGATATACCTAAAGCGTCATGTCATAATTGAATATAAAGCTATTGTATTCCATTCTAGGGTCCGTCCGAGATTTATTTTTTGTCATAACTGATATCAGCCAAGGATAAACAAAAGCTAACGATTTTGTAGAAACAAAATATCCAATATTTAAATATGATTCTCAACATTGTGGTTTATAACACATATACATGGATAATTATTGTTTACGATTTGTCAACGAATGAGATATTTGCGTTAACGTTTCCCTGCTATTAAATCCAGTGTATTGTATGTAGCCGCTTCTATTGGCCATCATTGGCACTGCTAACTTATCTACATAATAGATAATAAAATAGCCAGCGTAAATTAAACAACAGCTGCTAATTTTGAAGCATTCATTTCATTTTATTTTAAGAATTCTGATGATATTATATTTTTAATAAAGCATTTTATATAGAATGTGTCTGCGTATGTATGTTAATAAACAAATATGTTGTTGTATATGATGATAAACAAACATAATATCCTTTCAGCTCAGTTTAAAATAAAAAATATATATGTACATATATAGTTAGTACATAATTAAGGCACATGTTTATTGTGACTTTTATACATGTATTTGTATTTAATTTAAGGGTATCAATATCTTCATATAAACAGTTATGTACTCTAAAATAAACATGAAAGGAAAATGATTATGATTTATACGATATTTACCCTGTGCCAGGGCCTGGAAAATTGAAAATATTGACCATAGAAGGAAGAAAAAGGACGTCAGTTAATTCGAACATAAAACAAATAGACCGTATTTTTCTTTTCCTTTTACCTTACAAGTTAATATAAAAAATGTACAAGGGCAAATAATCGAGAATGTAAATGACACTTATTCATTATTTTTGTAAATCATTTATTTCTTCATTTCAAAAATTAGCTAACAATATTGAAATAAAAGTTCACGGTTTATGGTTCACGAAATTATAAATATAAAATGGAAACTAATTCATCCGAGACAACAAACAAAATGGCAATCCAGTCGTGAGTTGTATTAAGCTTTATTCGGCATCTTTAAAAAAAATTAAGCAGGATTTGTTGATGCCAAACACTATAACTACGACCACTGTACAAATTCCAATGAAGTAAACAATGATTAGGCATGATAAGTGCGTGGTAAGCATGTGATTGCAAAACCATTAGCCAAAATAGGCCAGAAATTGCCTTTTGACCAATAGTTTTTATGTAACACGCTTGATCATTGTTTACTTTGTTGAAATATGGAAAGTTAATGTAGTATTGGTTATTCTGAGCCACATAGGTTGATGAAAAATTAGGGAATGTTACGTTACAATATTATTTTATAATGTAATATTAATATAATAATAATTAATCTATGCGGCATTAAAATAATCAACGATCTTGTGTAAAAATTTACATTGCTTACAGAAATTGTTTTGAATAAATATGCATTCGTGATTGTTTATAGTTTATTAAGAGAGAAAAACAGACGACGACGAGACTCTGCGAAAATATGTTGCCTTTAGAGAAATAATTATTTACATAGTGAGGCCAATAAGCTAACGATGACATAAGACGCAGACTTTGGCCGACACGTCGTGCATATTATTTCGTAAACATTAATAAACTGGTTTTACTTAATTAATTTCTTTGGTTTTTATCACTTTTTAGATGTTATTTCGTAAATATTAATAAGCTGGTTTTACTTAATAAATTTCTTTGGTTTTTATCACTTTTTAGATGTTATATTAGGGCTATGCTAGGGTTACGTTATTACAGGCGTAATTCTCGTCCGCTTTTCCTTCATGAATGTCGTAATAGCTCAAAGTGGAACATATTTTCAAGGTCATAAGCCTTTAGGACATCACATCTCAAAGGAGACATTTGTCCGGAATCGAATTCGTAGAATTGTATTTTGTGATGAGATCGGTGGAAAACTTTTTTTAAGTTAAAGATTCCAAATATTTTACATGATATTCCGTTCCTGCAATCGTTCGTGCACAGATGTGTACGCGGCTTTAAATACATTGTACGTAAATCTAATGGCGATTTATGTTCTAGGTGATGTCATGGACATGATGGCCCTCACCAATTCGGCTATAAACTTCATCCTCTACTGCACGATGTCCAGACAGTTTCGCGTGACCTTTAAGGAGATTTTCAAAGTGAAAGCTGTTGTTAAGTGGTGTCACAAGCATCCCCATACGCCAGAAGAACAAGGAGTGGCAGAGACGAAAATGTCGTTAGTTTAGTTAACGTTTTGATTTCTGGTTGCATCGATTGATAAACAGAAATATTTGTGATAATACTTTAAGAAATGAAGAAAAACTTTGAGTAAACAAGAGTTTTAAGAAGTTTTTAAAATCTACGTATAAATAAATACTGTGCATATTTTTCTATTACCCTCTTCCACTACTTTTTTAATGCGTATTTCTACAACTATTGAACATTTACCAGAAGTCAGCTTCACCACTACCAAATAATGCCTGTAAATAATATTACAATTAATAACACAATATAACACACAAACATATTTATTAATTAAGAGTTATACGTAAGTACACATAATTGTTTATTGGCTTCAATTTAATATTTTATGCAAATTTTTTAAAATTTTTCTAATTAATTTGTTAAAACCACGAATTAGAAGCTGTTTTACAAAGTTTCTTTCAAAACAGAAACTATATCAGTTTAAAACAAAAAAAATAGCATTAAAAGTTGAATTTGATAAACAGTTAACCATACAAATAATCTCGAGTGCTAGTTCTCTTATATTTATTTTATTATCTAGAATATAACATTATCTTCTTTCATTTATTTATATTTCTGCCTGTTGAATGAATGTTGAAATAAAATTATGTTTTAGTTTCTGTGATCGTCCTGTTTCTGTACAAATGTGTATTTAATCAATATCAATTGTGTTTACTGATACACTGACAACTCTTAGGATTATCAAATTTGTCAATTATTCTTTTCGGAACTTTTGTACCCTTCAATTTATAAAGGTATAAGAATAAATTTTAATAAAATCAAGGTTTTATTGTAGAGTGAAAATAAAAATAAAATCAGTGAGGAAATAGTTCTTATTCAATGGTAAAACGCTAATTTGCTATTTAATTAATAATTTTTACGATCCCTACGCATTCTGTCGAACAGCTGGAATAACATTAGCCTGCCAAATTTTGTATTTCTCTAAGGCAACTGCTGGGAAATTCACCTAAATTATGTCTGACGCCGTATGCTACACACCAGAATTATTAAATTTTGTGAAATATTGCTTTCCATAAACATTAATTATTATTAAGTAAAACCAAATTGAGGTTATTATTAACCTGTGGTACATTACTGTTGACATCATAATATTCTGCACCAAATTTTGTACTTGTAGTGCTAGGTATTGTAGTAATGTAGATATAGTTCTTTGTACTGACTGTGTTAAATATATTTTTTATTATAAAATAAACGTAAAATTAATTCTGTTATTTTCTTTTAGGTACAATTGTCTTCAACACTAAAATAAAGTTAATTTAGTATTAGAAAATTAGTGTTAATTGACTGTAAGTTAATTTGAACGTACTAAAAATCGTTAAAAAAAAGCGTCAAAATCTTTGAAAGCAAAGGATACTCTATTCTTGGCATTTAATCTCAACAACTGTTATATAGGCTGTATACAGTGCGTTCATGATGAAAGGAACTCATTCGCTTAAAATTCAGGTAATTATTTTGTGGGAAAAACGCTCGGACAAGTCGATTAGTATTTTTAGTTGCGGATTTTTATGTTATACAAAAAGTGTTCTGAATTTACCGTAAAGTCCAAAAATGGCATAATATACAGGATGTTCTATTAAAAAAAATCAATGTTGACTGCATATGTTCTTCTTGAGACACCGTGTATACAATTTTCTTATGTCAAAAAGTCCGCAACTAAAAATACTAATCGACTACTGTTCGAGCGTTTTCCTAGAAAATAATTACCTGATGAATTTTAAACAAATTTGTTCCTTTCATCATGAACGTACTGTATATTAAAGTGTTAAAGTATTATTTAATAAATATTTCTTTGTCAAAACTTTAATGGCTTTTGGAAAATCAATTAAATTAGCTAATAGTTGTAACTTGTAAATTTATAATTAAACGTATTTATTGAATCTTCAAACACTTGAGGCAAACCACTGAACAAAATTCTTTTTTTATGTGCTTATTAATATTACAAGTCTCTTAAATTTTATTTTGAATATCACTTTTATGTAACAATTATACTTAAATGTATTCATACATATTGATTTTTCAGTGGCGACATCTGATGGTCTAAACATGGTGGTTGCTCTGCATCTTACACGAAGAAGTTTACTACATGATCACAAACTCAAAGCTTCACGAAAACTTCGGCAGATATCAATTCATACATTTAATTCGATTCTTTACTTTCGATTATTAGAGTAGTTTAATTATGAAACTATCTTAGTTTAAATTGTTGTGATTGTGAGTGTCTTATATCGTCCCTTAAGAGATTAGATAGTTAGAGAGTAATAATACACTAACAAGTTTTAGAGACAAATCCAGAGAAAGGCGAGACACTAGATACCATAGTAATTGTCTATTTCTTAAAAACCTGAGCACCTTGATAAAAGTTGCATTTGTTAACCGATTTTGTCCTTTTTTTTTAAAGTAGAACACCAAAATCAAAAACTATTTTTGAACAAAACGTGATTCTATAATATGATTGTAAAAACATATGAAACGCTATTTTAAAAAGATGCTTCCAATAACAGACCAAAACCTAAAATTTTTTTCAATGAACAGTTTAGGCGCTTATTTCAAAAACTGCGAATATGGTTACTTAAAATAATTTGTTAGTCTATTTCGCAAAATAAGAAAAATTCGAAAAGCTGGTTTCTTTGTTTCCGATATTGAAAATATTATTTTTGCCAATAAAATTTTCTTCTCCGAATCCTTAATATTAATTAATATTTCTAGTTGTCCTTTGCTTTCTATTGACAATCTTTTTTGTTACATGCTTCAAATAACTTTGTATCGGTGGAAATCTATTTAATAAGGTCAGCGTATTAAATAAAGTTGATATTCAACAAAACAAGAAACAAACTAAAGCCAAAAAGAAGCTTATACTCTTTTATTTCTATAGAACATAAAACTCCTTATATGCATCCTACGTAACATGCCTACAGTACGCTCACAAGGAATTTGTTGGATTGGATAAAAAAAATACTTAAAATTGTTTTCAGATTTATTTACAACTTTCTGTAACATTTATTTTATTTACTTGAAATCCATAGTTGCCTTATTTGGACCAAAGACCCCTAATAAAGCCAATTTAATAGTTTTATCATATTGTCTTCTATTAAAATCCATTATCAATCAATCAAAAAGTAAATTTTAATTTCGAATACCCGTTGACAAAAGATTTAATATTTTTTTTACTAAAATGAGTCTTTTTTTATGAACAAACAGTAACTACTAGAGACTTAAAGTTTAGTATGGCTTAACTGCCTGTATTTCAATACAATGGTTCTTGTGATTCGTCATCTATATGTATATAAAGGTACCTATATTTAAGTATCTTGTTGACATAGAGATTTCATTTCACATTTCTTCAAGAAACAGGAATAGATCAATAAATGTAATATGTAAGTCAGGGATTCCTATCAAGGAAAATACTTTAAAGATCCTTATTTTTTTTAGTAGGAGAAAGCGTGGGGTTTGAAAGTGATCAAAGTGGTTGTAGGAAGCATTAATTTTGAGAAGTGGCCCAAAAAAAGCAAACAGAAACATGTTTTTTGGTAATTTTCTAAATTTTATTTAGGATTTTGATATTTCGAAGATCTACACCCATAGAATGGGTGGTACTCAACTAAATATGATATATCGATTAAACTCAACTCAACTCTACTACTACTACTACTACTCAACTAAATATGATATATCGATTAAAATTTTCATGCAGGTTTTTTCCATGGAAAATATGACTTTACCTAATTTTTTTTCTGAAAAATCGAGTTTACTTTTGGAACTCTTTAGCAGTGTTTCCTTTTTAGTATCAAATTGCCGAAAATACACCACAGAAACAATATCATAAGGTACCTGAGAGGTGCAAGCTTCCTTGAATGAAAGTTACTCGAACCGTAAATAATTTAGGACATGCCGTCGCCTCCGAGAATAAATCATATTATCTTGACTATATTAAAGTCAAATTTCATTGAAAATACTAAACACCATATTTGTTAGCACGCTGTCGGTATAAACATTTACCAAGTTATTTTATTCTCGATATTTCTAATCGATTTGCCTGGCCAGGATATAAATAAAGTCAGACAGGGAAACATTTTATGGAAGCCATGCATCTTACTTATGTTTGTTGTAATTTATAAAAGAAGCCGTTAGTGAAAAAAGGAATATAAAAAACGCGATACAGCCCGGTGAGAAATTTGTTTGTCTTTCTTAGAAATGTACACCATTTGGAAAGCAAGTACCTAACTGAAAAAGTAAAAGTAATTTGGAACGCATTTCCTGGAAGTTAAAAGGAAGAAATATTACATGCCAGATTCAGATTATGTACTCAAATTTATAGTATAAATAAAAAATAAGTAATTGAAAAATTATACATAATGTGCTCCTATTATACATAAACGAATGTATTCTTAATTGAAAGTAATATTTTTTTCTTTGTATTAAAGAAATTCAAATTAAATAATGAATATAATCTTATTTTGTAGTTATCTACTATAGTTTAAATATAGGTATAATGTTTATTGACAGTGAGCCTACTTAAATTTTAGTTTACATAAATATATCAACTCATATATACCTTACCCTTCAAATATATGACTTTATAACAAATGAAAGGTTTTCTTCCGGATCAAAATTATTTTTCCGCCGTCTTCACCATAAAATGCAATTTTACGAACTCATTTCCAGATAAGAAATGTCATTTTTTACATGTAGAATGCATTTTTTGACCCAGGTTGAATAACTATTTTTTACTTTAACACAGGCGTATTTCTATAGGAAGCATTCATTAAATAATCTCAAATTAAATTAGTACAAACAACGTAATTAAATATGATTTCCTTTTGCCATTAATATGAATGGTAAGATAATATAAAATGTACCTACCTTATATAAAAAACTTTTAGCTTTAGTGAACTAAACGCTCAGTATTAATAAAATGAATAAAGGCAAAACGCCTCCGATAATTTTATTATTAATATCGTTGAAATACCAATGGAAGCGCTCGTAGCACGAAATAAACTTTATCTTGTCCAGCTCGTGGGAAATATAAATTTCCATAATAAAAAAAATAAAATTTCTCTTTAACACTTGTTTCATAAAAAAACTACCACTTCGCAGCTGCTATTCATTTTAGACACACTTCTCTTTAGTGAAAAAATTGCTCTCGGTTATTTTTAATAAATATAAAGTAAAATTTTTCGCAGTCATATTTTGACATAATAGAAAGGAACAACTATTATCTACAATTAATTAAAAAATACATAATACCTATTGTATATTTTTTTAAATTAAATTTTTGCAATAATTATTTTTATGGTAATTCTATTGAGTACCTAGTATTGACCAAAGCAGTTTTAGTCAAATTCCTGCGTCTGAAATAGAGTGTAATTCTTTGCCATGAAATAAAACTTCAAATAGAATTATTATATTTGAATTACACATTCGTCACAGACATCAAAACGAACACAAATTGATAATCTGCAGGTTTATAAGCTACATACGTTAATGGAAGAATATTAAAAAAATTAAGCAATAGAGCAATTCGAGAGAGAGAGAGTATATATTTTGCATTTTATTAGAGGTAGTAGCGACCACAGCTCCAAAAAATTGCGAAATGTATATGTGTTACGCCAAAGAAAATTGACAATTTTTAAGTTGAACTTTCAGAATAATTATTCAAAAAATATTGAAATTTCAAATCAATAAAATCTCTTTATTTTAACATAATAAACTTACGAAAGAATTTTGAGGGAAAAATGAACATACAATATATATATTTTCATCATTTGCGATGAATTGAGTAAAACTAACGCGAGTAATAAACTTGATAGATGACTAGGAAGTATGCTAGTCATTTTTCTTCGATAGTGTGTAAGTCATGTCCCAAAACACAAAACGGAAATGCACCAGCACCATTACGAAATTTCCACCAATGCCTCAGTGGCAAACAGCTTAAATTTTCAGAGATAAGGGGTGGTAAAGACGAGCTTCTACTTAATTACCGATAGCAATCGAGAGTCTGCTGGTGATATCCTTACACCTATCAGGATTGTGTCGGTTTACTAGACTTTTTAAGAAAAGTGAAGATATCAAAGATGAGGGGAAATGCACAAAAGTTGTCTTAGTAACTATGTTTTGAGCTGATATTTTAATAACGTCATGTTTATTTACCGGACGATAAGGTCTTTTAATAATAGGTATTGATTAAATGAGACTCGGAAAAAAAA